CAGTTTAGATTCGTGCCGCCCCATGTGCCACTTTCCGGGCCCCTCCGGCACACACCCCCGGGAAGCCGCCCCTCCCCTTGCGCAAGGGCCCCCAAGGCCGTTGGCCGAGGCCATGCCGGTGGGCACGGGCGCTCAGCCAGGGACAGGCTTTGGGATGCCAGCATGGCCTCAACCCGGTGGGCACCCACCGTTACACATGCCCAGCCGGCCGCAGCCTCTCACCTGCTTGGCATTGCCGACCCAGAAGGTGATGGAGTGGAAATGGATGAAGCGGCCTCGCAGGGGCTAAAGGGAAGGGGAGAACAGGGCTGAGAGCCACCGCTGCAGACTTCCCTGCGGTGCTGCTGTCTCCAGAGCAGGGAGAAGCGGCAGCGACCCTGCGAATGCATCCGAATTAACCGGGTGAAACTCTGGCTGCTGTCCCGAACTAGTGATTTTCCAAAGTGCTTTACAGTCAGGTCCCGCAGGATCCTGCCTTGCGAGGTGGAAGGTGTGAAGCCCCGGCTCGCCTGGGGCTGCGTCGGCCACGGTGCTCCCAGTGCTCCCTGCAAGCGGCCCCCGCAGCGGGCTGCCCACCCACGAACCTCACTGCGTTAAAGATTAATTCTCCCCCGAAACGCTCTTACACAACCGCCAGTGCTGGGCAAATTCCCCTTTGCTCCGTTCCCCACCGCTGTCCAACCAGGGTGTCGGACACCCAGCCACCACGCACACCCGTGGTTTGGAGAGCACTTTATAGGGGAAAAAGGTGGTGAATAGGTGCAGCATTTGGAAATAAATGTTGCAGCAAGTGGGGATTCTGCTTAGGCATCGGGGTTGGCCAGAAAATACCCATCGTCTCCCATTTGTGGTTCTCCTTCCAAACCAGAATGTAAAAGGAAATGAAAAAATTTCCATTATTAATGTTGATCTACAACGAGGAGTCACATCCCGTGTGGCCCAGCCAGGGAGCAGTTTTAGTTCAGATTTTACCAGGTAATCAAGGAGTAAGGAATGAATATTATTTGCATTAACACAGCTGATAGTTCACACCAGGCAGGAGGACAGGACCGCAGACAAGTCTCAGCTCTTACCTTTTCTCCTTTGTCTGTGTAAGATGTCTAAAAGAGAGAATCAGAAAAGAGAGATGTTAACGGTTCAGGAAGATACCTCAGCCCCCCGAGAGCTTGACTTCAAAGGTCGGTGTATGAGGAACAGCTCTTCCACAAGACTTCCAGCACAGTCACTAAAAAGTCTGAATTCAAGCAGCGATTAAACCCAGTAAATGTCCCATGCTGCTGAGCCCCAGCACTTTAAATTAATTCCCATCCGCTGCCTCTCACCATTTTTGTGACCTGGTGATGTGACAGTCGCAAAGAGAGCGTGAGTCCAGGAGGGCACTTAATACAGTGGTGGGATGGGGGAAGCTCCACCTCGGCTCCACCTGCTCCCACCCCCAACCTGAAGCATTTGCCACCCGGAGCTGTGTTTGGTTTGGGCTGGGAGCTGCCAGCGTTGTCCCGTGGGTGGCTTCCCGGGGCCGTGTCACGGGGTCCTTTGCAGCCCTGGCTGTGGCACAGCAGGGTTAAACGTGGAGGGTTGTGAGCGTGCAAGTGTGCAAGCGTGCAAGCATGCGAGGCTCTGTGGCGCTGCTAACCCTGCAGCAAAACCTCGGTGGCCCTGGCGTGTGGCAGCACATCCCCCCCCAGCCCGCCTGCCTGCCCCTGGGGACATTCACCCCTTCATGGGGCCGTGTCCTGTCCCGGCCAACGCTGAGCCAGGACAGTTTGGCTGCGTGTGGAGTCCAGCCATGCGTGCCGTGTCTGGGTCTGGGGCCACACGGTGCCGCCTTCAGCTCCGGTGACCCCAGCGCCGCAGGGGTCTGTGAAAGGAGGGGACAGGAGGCAGCCCTGCCGGAGGGGACACCAGTGCACCAGCACCCCGCAGCTGGGAGTGGTGG